TATGAGTAAGGGCTTGTGCAATATTCAAGTAAAAGCTTGTGTTGACACAAAACAAAATGCAATTAATTAAAATATAAATGCACAAACTTGCTATTTATCCAAATGATGATATCTAGATATCCAATATTTGTAATAAAAAAAAAATCAAATTTCATATTTATTACAGTGTCTTGTGTATTCTCAAGAAAAGTATTTTTCTATATTTGAATTCAGAAGAAAATTACCAATATAAAAATTGACACAGCATTTTTTTATATTAAGGCAAAAACACCAAACATTTTCTGGTTCTAGTCTCTCCAATGTGAAGACACCCATCATGAATCTATCATCAGTCATTGATAGTGAAAATATTTAGTTCATGTTGACTTGTTTTTTCATTAAATTGTTAAATTGTGCATTAAATGTTTTCTCTTTTCCTTTCAGATTATCTGCCGATGACTTTTGGGCTTCTGATTCTCGTCTTTAGTTCTAAATAATTGGCAAAGCTGCTGAAAAATAAAACACTCTGTGCATTTGGGCGAGTGATGCTTACTTCCTAAGGTTTGTCAAAGACCATCACAAACTGCTCACAGGTTGAGTTTGCACCACCGACACTCATTTATCCCAAAACGTCCCCCGATCGTCACTGTCGAATACAGAGTCCAGATGACGTAACAAAAAAACAGCAAAAAAAAAAAAGTTAAAAGGGCTGCTACAGAAAACGCCGGAGTTTATGTCCGTTTACGTCCCTTCATCCCGTCACTGTCACCTCTCGGCTGCACATTCCAGCCGTCCCGCTCTTATCTTTATTGGCTGAGGACGGGCAGAATTACAGCAGTTAGAGGGACCGTTTCTGCAGCTTTCGAGACACAGATGTCCACGGAGACCAGAGACGACGACCACTTATCAATGGCCACATGACAGGAGAGGATGAAATATACGCGAGGGACAGAAGAAAGACGCCTCTGATAGGGTGGAGAACTTTCAGATAATGAGAGTGGAAAGTGAGAGAATAACTGGGGGGGGGAAATAGCTCGTAGTAAAAGTAAACGGTCTGTTAAAGCTCCCCAAATGACAAACAATAAACCGCCTCGTCTTAAAAGTCTCTACTCGAGTCGAGAGGAGTCCGCTCACAGAACGTTTACACAAATAAAGGCCGTTGCTCTGTCGGTACTCGGGACATTAAGGATGAATCCAGCTCTCAGTATCTCAGATAGCATTTATCTGTGTAGTGACAAAAGGCTTCGCCTGACGGGTGGAATCAGGTTGAGTGTGCCGCGCTGGCTCAGACGCACAACAATGTCAAATAAGCTGCTGATTGGATGTGGGGTCAGATTTGACCAAAACACGCATGTGAAAGAGCGGACACAATAGTTTGTTATTAATGATCGGATCGATGGAGGAGCAGTTCACTCAGGCCCGTGTGAGCTCGTGTTTACCTGCAGAAAAACACAATAGAAAATGAGAAGAATGCAATTTCTAAAAGTTTGCAAATATATGAAGATAACAAGAAAAGCATCACTTAAAAAATTAATGAATTATTATTATTTAATTTGTTAAATACAAGTAACAAAAAAGAGTTTTTATAATAATTCGAGTTTGTTTATGCAAATCAAATACAAAAGAACAGCGCTTTAACTGGGATTTGACATTTCTAAATGTAAAAATAATTTCTAAAAAGAAGGGTCCACAGAACATGTGGGATGTGTACCTCCAAGAACATCTTGAAAGCCGAATCCAGTGACAATAAGCAGCTGTTGCTTTTCGGAGGATTTAATCTTGTTATCCCAATTTTTGATTTGATTTTCAAAACCATGTTCTGTTGGCTTGATGAGAGGAGATCTGACCTCAGAACGACCTTGACCAGAAGGCAGCAGGACGCGTATTAATCCGATGAAAAACCTACGAGACATTTTAGCACCTTGTGCTACGTGAGGTGAAAGCTGCGTTTCTTCTCCCAGCAGGCACCGGGCCCCTGAGGGACGCCCAGACCGCCCGTGGCGTGACCCAGTTCCCCCCAGAATGCATTGCCCTGCCCTGTCTAATTGTACCCGGTGGCCTTCACTTTCTTTGCGTGTCGGCGTCCGGTGCGCGCGCCAGAGGTGGACATGTACACATATACATATATATATATACATATACTTATGTACTGTACGGGCCCCCGTGTGATAAACACTCAGGGGCCGCAGCGCGCTCCGCTGCGGTTTCCGTGCTGGGCTTTGAATCAGGGCGAATATTTGTTTGGACGTGTAGAGTTGAGGGTATAAGCACTCTGAAGAGGAAGGGAAGCAGTGTCTATTGAAAAATCTACATGATGACACAAACAATTATGAGGAGAACCCGTAACACGGCCAAGATGTCTCCCCGTGACCTATTTTGGATGTTTCCCTCATGGCGAAGCAGCCAGAGGGGTGGGGGGAGACAGGGGGGAGAGAGAGAGATGACTGGGTTGAAAGCAAAATATGAAGAGACTATTGAAGGTCTTTCAGCACCTCCAGCGATAGCAAGTAAAGGCAGAAAAGAGGAGAAGGAGGAGATGGAAGAAGAGGGAAGGTTCTGGTTAAATTGTGAGGCCCTGAGAGGCAGAGCGGAGGGAGACGCGGAGGAGAAAGTGATGCAGAGAAAGCGCGGAGAGGGGGATGGGAGTATGACCAGGGTTGTATTTCATCTCTGCGTAGTGGACGTCTTAATCAACACTGTCAGGTTTTCTTTCAGGAGGCCGCATGGTGTTCTTCAGCGTGACAGCGGAGAGGCCGACTGGACGGAGAGGAGGATGTGCCTTCATTCTGCACCGGAGCAGAAGCAGCCCGCATCGAGGAAAATAATAATAATAATAATAATAATAATAATAACGATGCATGTACTCTGTTACTAAATGAAACAAAAGTTTGGAAGTTGCTTTTTGGATTATATCAGCATTAAAGCATTAAATGCTTCTGTGGTGAGGTTTTAGTTTCCAGGTCAGACACAGAAATAAACTATAAAAGGTATTAAAGCACCTGTGGGACACCACACGTGCTTTTATGGTAGAAATACAGTTCATTTCAAATCCTCAGATATTTATTTTTCAGAATTGGATTTTTTCAATAATTTGAGGAAAAGTTGAAATAAATGTGTTAATACAGATTGTGTTTTTTTTAATCCTTATTAATTTGTCGGTCTTTTTGTTAACAAATAATTTATGTTGATTTGTCTGCTCCTCTACTGTATACTGAAAGTGAATTGACAAATAAAGGTGATTTATTAAAGGATTAGAATGTAATAAAATACTAAGTAAAAGTCAAGCACTGTACACAAGTGTTTCTTGGGAATGGCTTCCTCCGGGGTGTTAAATTAATGATGCATTAAAGTGAGTGCAGCATTTTACTACATGCACTTTATGAGTTCGTCACATGTTTTGACAGCCAAAAAATGCTCATAAATCCGCGCAGTCAGTATTCAAGAAAATGTAAAGCTGCACAATATTTAATAAACTGCATTCCACGGTCTAAAAAATATTGAACAAATCCGAGCTTAATTTATAATAATATCAGAGAAAGTATGTGCTATTGTGCAGGAGATGACACATGTTTTATTTTAATTTTTTAGTAGTTGAGATGTATTTGGGAACATTGTGAACATGCTCTAAGAATACAAGAGAATTCAACAGGAAAACTGCAACAACGTAAGATTTCGAATGTTTCTCATTTCGTAAAAAATACCATGTGAATGTTTCCGTGCGGTGTTGTGCGTGCGTGCGTGCGCGCAACGCGCGACACGACGTGGCTGCAGCGGTGCGCCGTGGAACATGCTGCAGACCAACACGCTGCAGACCAACACGCTGCAGACCAACACGCTGCAGACCAACACGCTGCAGACCAACACGCTGCAGACCAACACGCTGCAGACCAACATGCTGCAGACCAACACGCTGCAGACCAACATGCTGCAGACCAACACGCTGCAGACCAACACGCTGCAGACCAACACGCTGCAGACCAACACGCTGCAGACCAACATGTAAACAGTGAGCAGGCCATGAGAGCTTTTATGGAATACATGTAACCCCGCTGCACGGTGACACCTCCTGATTTATGGCTGTATTTAGATAAGACGCGGCCAGTAAATGGTTTCCAAATAGCGCCAAGGTCATGTAATGTAATGGGATAATGTTTTTCAGGCAATGGAGACAGAATGATGTGTTTAGTGCGTAAGGAGCTGGGGGGGATTAATGCGGAGATAAAGCCGCTATTGCTGAGGTATGATGACAACAACCCGGCGCTGTTGTCCCTGCAGAAAAGACATCAAATTATTAATCAAACTGTTTCTTTTACACTTCCCAGAAAGTTCTGACAAGGAACTATTAAATCGTGTTATTGCTGCAAAGGAGATAATTCACTAACAACGCGCAAAATAAAAATGACGAATTAAAAAAAATATGGAGAATTGTGTTTTTATTGGAAGACGGTGAATGACCATGGAACGCAAATACACAAACAACCAAATATTTCAGAGTTAATTTAACATATCGAAGTGGAAGGCGACGGAGATGTTGTTCGATACAAAAATATTATTTAAGGGAAGTGCTTTCATTCTGTGTTAATTAAATATTTGAAATGCAATTTATATTATAAATGTAACAATCTGTTCATCGAAAAGTTGAATGCGGATTAAAATGATTCCCACTGTCAGACAAAGCAGAGGCTTCTTTTTTTTTGTATTTACTTGTATGTGCGCGACCACAAATCAGAGGTAAACTCGGAGCCACCGCCGTGTTTAATTCCCCCGCCTGCGCGATTGACCACCAGTTGACAAATAAAAGTACACAAAGGAATTATTTTCACCACTGAATGACCGAAATCACACCCAATAAACATGCTTAGCCAAACATAGGCCGCGTAAATTATGCGCGTAAAACCTCTCCAACCACTCGAGCTGACAACAAACGCCTTTTTCCCCCCCAACATACTTGAAGACAGCCCCCCCCTCATGCGTGCACATCTGCGTAGCCAGAAAACCAACTCCCAACAACGCGCGGATAGACTTGCTGCTTGTGTGTTGCCGTGAGATTGCGGCCCCGCGGTGCGTGTTGTTGTTGTTGTTGTTGCAAACGTCTCTCGACTCTCCTCCCATCCGGGGCGCTTTCCTCCATTGGCTGCCTTCCTCTCCGCGCTGACCTCCAAATCATATAAACCTGGGGGCCTCACACCTTCCTCAGGGTCACATTTCTTCGGGCAAATCAGAGCAGCAGCCTCTTCGGGGGGAGGGAACCGTCGCCGAGGAAAAGAAAAGCCCGAGCGGATCCCGGCCGGCACGGCACGTCGTGCCGCTCTCGTCCGTCTGGAATTATAAAGTTGTTTTGGCATTTTTTTTTTTCTTCCCCGGGCTCTTTCGTTTCGGTCGCTTCCGGGATGACGACGATGCGCGAGTCGGCGGCTGCGTTCGGTCTGACTCGTTAATGCATCCGAAGGAATACGCGTCGAAGCACTGAATGAGCCGAACCCCGCGCGCAACGCACGTCTTGGAGCAGCACCGGAGAGAGACCGAGGGCGACGGACGAGACGCCGGCGAGCACAGTTCTCCTCCCGCTCGCCATGAACCTCATCGGGGGCTACCAGCATCACCACCACCTGATGCACGAGCCCTTCCCGTTCGTCCAGCGGTGTCACCAGGATGCGCCGTACTTCCAGAGCTGGGTGGTGAACCACGGCGAGGTGCCTCCGGACTTCCAGATCCAGGCGCCGTACCCGGCCGCGGAGCACGGGGCGCCCGGGGCGGCGCACGACGGCCGGCTGGAGGGGCTCCAGGCGGGGATGGGGAAGAGGAGGACGTCGGGGCCGAAGAAGGAGCGCCGGCGGACGGAGAGCATCAACACGGCCTTCGCCGAGCTCAGGGAGTGTATCCCCAACGTGCCGGCGGACACGAAACTGTCTAAAATCAAAACGTTGCGCCTGGCGACCAGTTACATCGCCTACCTGATGGACGTCCTGGCCAAGGACACCGGGGAGACGGAGGGCTTCAAGGCCGAAATTAAGAAATTCGAAAACCGGGATATGAAAAGAAAACGGGAGCCGGTGAGTAGAAGCCTGCTTGATCACAAATAAACGCAAACCAAAAGAGTTCAGCTGTTAGTTCGGTTCCAAAAGGGAAACCTTATATTTGAAGGTGGAATTAAAGCGAGGCCCAAAGTTTAATCTGACTTTTAATTTTTTTTATAGTTTTAACCTCAGTCGGGTTATTATCAGAGTTGTAAAAAAAATTATCCTTAAGACTGTGGTATGAAACGAAACCTTTTAATGTAATGGTATTTCTTTAATAGCCTGATATGTGATCCATAATAACAAGGCGAGGCTAATGGAGGCTACTCACAATTTTGGTTTCGCCTCAAACAATCAACACTTCTCCTCATTAAAGTCCGTTTGGACCCTTTAATACACACATGCATATACTGTAATGATGCAATGAGGTAAAAATATTACAGGTACATCACGAAATGTATTTGTATTGCTGATCACTACGGCCGAACTCTTATATCCTCATAAAGTTAAATTTAGAGCCCACATTCAAAAAGCATTTCTTCACAATGTGTGTATATTGTTACCGTCTGTGTTTATTATAATAAAGGAACACTAGGTGTTTTTACAGTATTATATCAGCCCTATTCATTTAAAAATATGCATACTTTCTGAATATTATATCATTTGAATTAATTTTAATATTATAGTATACATATTCATCTTAATTTGACGTACGTGATAAATCATTTTGGGTTTAGTCTTGATCGAGGGTTCACATGAAAGCCCGCATGTGATGTCACGACCCCGATTGCGTCACTAAAGGCCCCCAAATCACCGAGTTCGTTACATTGTGACGAAAAGCAGCATGTGGCCGTGTAGAGCCTTTCCAGATCACAGGCTCCAGACCCCCCCCCCCCCTACTTCCCTCCCCGCTGACCATGTGGTGTTTCCCGGTGTCACAGACCGACGGCCTGCAGGAGTCTTTAGGAGCCGAGAAGAAGGCGAAGGGCCGGACCGGGTGGCCGCAGCAGGTCTGGGCTCTGGAGCTCAACCAGTGACCTCCCCCCCCCTTTACAATTTCTTCCCCAAATTTCAAAAACTGTTTTTTTTTGGGCTCAAATTTGGGGGAAGAAAAACTCCTCGGACTCTGGATTGAAATCGAAAAAGAAAAGGAGAAGAAAAACAAACACCAACCACTGAGTAACTGAACCCAAACACACTGCTGTGCGCGCGCAATGACGCGCGCGACAAAGAGAGAGAGAATTAAAGGACAACGAGAGATACATCAAGGTGACACGATGGACCAACTGTTGGTCTTCTTCTCTCCTTGTGCAGCTTCTAAATCAACACGCGCACACGCACGTGACTGTATGATATTTGTGGTATTTCTGCTTTTTGATGTTTCCACCCTTCCAGTGCTGTAGACCAGATGTGGCCACGGTGTCAAAAAAAGAAAAAAGTAAAGCAACATCTGCCCCCCCCCCCCCCCCCCCCCTCTCCATAAAAATGGCTTTTCGTCGTGCGGTGGTGTTTTCAACGTCTGATGGGGCTGGATCAGAAAATAAATACATTATAACAAATGCCCCGTGGTGTAAATGTTGCAGGACTGCAAGTATGATTCTTTTTATTTTATATTTTAGTTTTTCTTCTGGGGGCTGTAATTTATTACAAATCACAGTTGACGAGCTGCGCACCGCACAATGCGAAATGGATTTTTATTATAGTGAGTTCCCCAAATATTACAGGAGCCAATTAATGATCGACACTCAAATGTAGTATAACGCGTGTTATAAGTTGGTTTAGCGCCCCATGGAAATTAAATCATGTGGTTTTTGCATGAATTGATATTTATAATTTGCAAGTATCACCGTTTACCGTTTTAAGATTTGGGTGCAAAAGTATTACAAACCAGACGTCATATGAGACAGAATAAAATGTTTGAAAGAGATATATTAATTCTCAAATATTTGTGAATTAAATCAATTAAAAATACTTTGTCATGTGTGGACATAATAAAAATGGAAATTAAGTGAAATAAGAAATAACAAACTAACCTAGAAATAATGCCTGTCCTCATTGGAAAGCTCATCTCCCATGAAACGCTTTTTTCAGGGGAAACTTTTTTGTCACCGTTTAATATTTAATTATTATTAATCCAGTACTCCCGCTGAGATATGTAAAAGAAAAACTAAAAAAAGATAAGTCAAATCTAGTCCTGCCTGTTAATTATATAGCGGCTGCTGTTGAAGTTTCTGTGTAGGAAATGATTGAATTTACTGAATCTACCTCGAAATGAACGTCAGTGTCCGTTCTGAGACCCATTTCCATAAAGGCCAAGATTTCACTCCGACGTAATAAACAATTTAAAGGAATTAAGTTTGTTTTTTTGTGTGTGCCAAATGGTGAAGGAAATGTACATTGGATGTGAAGTTATATTTAGTTCCGTAAATAAATGAATTATTTTATGTCAAGTCAGGTGTGAAGTTATTTCCTCTTCCTCATTTATAAGACCCCAGTCAGAAACCAGATTACCTTTTAAGAATTTACACAGGATTACGGTTCGGAATTTATACCTTCCTAATTTTCTATACACATTTCCGTTACTGAAGTAAAATATGAAATTGCCCTCGGACGGTTTTAGGGCCATTTCCCGATGCGGTTCACCGAAGGCAGAATAAAACATGTTCCAAACAGTCAAAAATACAAATGATTTCATTCTATAATCATGTGTATAAATTGGAAAAATCCACCGCGTTGTAGAACTGACCTGAGGCTGCAGCACTGTTCCGTTAGTGACCAACTCCTCACACTTATTTAGGCCTTTTACACGAGTTCACAATGAGGTTTTATTCATCCGAAAGGAAAAGAGAAATTCGGTTCTAAACTATATTTCAGCCCGTTATGAAAAAGGGAGAGTCCTTCATGCTGAAAATACATGCTGCTCATGTTTGTTGGTTTCATATTCCTCTAAAAGAGTCCAGGTGTTTAAACCCGCCTCCGCAAAGCGCGCCCTCATATCAAAAGGAGCTACAGCGACACCTGGCGGCCGACGGCGGTTCCTGAAACTACACCCAACCTGGCAAGACAATTCTTGTTTTTATTCATCCTCATTTTCAGATTGTTTTCATATTTGTAACAGTTGAAAACCGCTCGTGACAGTTTGAGCTGTGAAATAACAGAAACGACACTTTGCTTCTTTCTGTACAATACATTTATTATGAACATCATCAGGAGCAATAAGCAGCCATATTTAAATAGTTTTTCTTCTTCTAATACAATTACGTTAAGGTGGTGTGGCCTATATGTTAAAGATGGGTGTTATCTACAGGACGCTAAAAATAAAACCTACAAGCAAAACTGAAAATACATCATACACTTAAAAAAAACAAAACTAAAAAAGGAGAGTTCCCTGCTGAAAGTAGAGAGCATCGAATGGTGGGCAAACTTAAATAAGACGTGACAAGAGGATAGACTGGGTAGTCACCACAATGAAGGAAAACAAAAACTAACAATTCAATACGCGTTGAAGAGCCGTAAGTTGTTCATTGCCTGGATGTTCCAGCAGTGCTTAAAGAGGTGAAATAAACATGTAGGATTTCAGCGGCGTTGGTATCATCATCATCATCATCAATGCTTTACTCTATCCAAAAGGCCAAAGTGCTACTTTCCCCATCAGGGCTTAAATCGTGGAAACATAAGACCCATTTCCTCCCCCATTCAGTTCTCATTCATTTCACTCACTAATTCCATCGGTTGCTTGGACACATTCTTTAAGACAATCGCCAAAGTGCAGTCAGAGCGCTTCAAGGTCAACATGCAGGTGTGTCAGAAGGAGGGAGCCGATTATCTCAACAGCAGGTAAACACTTGTTTTTAACAACTCCGCCATCTTCTTGGTGATGACATTGAGATTTCTGCAGGCAGATATTCATAATTGTCTAAATTTAAATGATTCAAAAGCTACAAACAGAAAAAACACAATCCAGGTGTGAAAAGAATTAAATCAAGACGTTGTCCATTATAAACACAGCTCGTAAATGTTAAAATGATGCTAATAATCTCACAGCCTGATCAGACACAGAAGCTCCCCTTCAGAAAATGAATTTAAAATCAATTTCCAAACTATAAAGTGAAGGTGGGGGGAGAATAAATGAAATGAAAGTGTGTTCAAACATACAGAAGAGGGGACTCAAAGCAAAATGCAATGTTTTCCCCCCCCGTTGGAGGACCCATGGGTCCCCCCCCATGGGTCCTCCAACGCACCGCGTCCAGTGGAAAAGGGTTAAATATCAGGGCCGAGGTCTGCCTTTATTCGATTAGTGAAAATGGAGGTTTTTACGAGAGTTGGGTGGCATTGGAAGCGACTTGGAGCTCCGATATTCAGAACGCAACTTTGGCGAAAAGGCCACGCCCCTTTCCAACAACTCAAACATTCAGAATGACCAACGACAAAAGACAATCCCACTCTCATCATTCAACTCCACACTTGTTTGGCACAAGCATTCCTTTGACAGAAGAAAAAAAAAAATGCAAAGAATAATTACTCCAAATTACCAAGTTTCTTTTCGCTTTTAAGGCAGCTTTATCGTACATCGCATTCAACCAACTTACGAAAGTTATCCGACGCTGTTCTCTTTGTACATATCGACAGTTTACATCACGGAGTGAGTCCTGGTCCTCCACAGGCTTTTCATGGGGGGGGGGTTTGGTTGCGGCTGCTGAGGAGTTCAGTCCAGCGGTTTGCCGCCGTCGCCTTTCTGGTCCAAGCGGCTCTTGCTGCTCTTCACCATGTAAATAAAGTAGGTCAGCGTCTCCTTCTCGTTCACCGGGATGTTTCTGAAGTGACGACTCACAGTCTGCGGAGACGAGAGGGGGGGACGGACGGACGAAGGTTAGCGTGTTTTACAGTGCATTTGTAAGTATGTATAAATACACACACACGTACTGTACGGCTGCAAACGCTGTACAAGATGAAGCACAACCTTTTTGGGGGCATCGGTACTCTATTTGCATAGAACCATATCAAAAAGATATCCCTCAGTCTCACCTGCCTCCAGGTCAAATCAAATATTCACACTGCAGAGGGAACATCTCATAGAGAAATCACAGCTTACAGTTAACCTTTAAAACATCGCAGGCTGAACGTCTGTTTGAGAGCCGCTGGAATCGGTCACGATGCTTCCAGAGGGAGACACGTGATGCAGACTTCCTTTAACGCCATTGAGGCCGTAAAGGGGGCGGAGCACGCGGAGGTTCTGGTGCCGGGTTTACCTCTGCCAGCTGGGCCTTGTTGAGTCCGGGTCTGGTCTGCAGCTTGTAGTGTCGCTTGTAGCGTCTCAACGTGTTCACCTGCAGCTGGAAGAGGTCAACCTAGGAAACACAACAGAGAGCGGGGACTTGGTAGTCGCGGCAACGTCACATTTTGGGATGATTCCCGTCGAGGTTTCGGGCCTCCTGTTCAGCTTTTCAAAAAGGAGATGAATCTTTACTGATCTCCATGAAGAACAGGTCACCAACACTAAAACCTCCGGGTACAGGGTGATAATAATGTACTCGTTACCTCGGGCACCTCCACGTCATGATCCGGGGAATCTCCTCCGTCGTCGCTGGTCTTCCGCTTCCTCTTGTTGCGGACGCTCTGGATGAAGTTCTTGTGGAAGTCGCAGATATAGAGGTGTCTCACCTACAACGACATCAACGAGTAGTAAAGAGGGGCAGTCTGCCACGCGCTGAGCCGCTTGGGAAGAGGCAGCCGCGCGGCATCAGCGCGACCAGAACACTACCAGCCTCGATAAACACACCCGTGTTTCATGACATCCCAACGATGCCTCCCTCCGTGAGCCAAGACCCATTCATCGTCTCCTTGGCGGTATGATCTTGGACCAAAGCTTAAAAGTATCTAGTCGTGCGATGTCGGTTGACTCGACAGACGCATTTCGGTTCGACGCCCAGCTCCACCTGCAGCTTGGTGGCAACGTCGATAACCGAGGGAGAGGAGCTTTCTTTGATGCGCCGTGCGCCGCCTCAGCGGATGAGGCCCGTCGGTCCGATTCGTCTGGGCCACAACGTGCGATTTGTGACATGAAATCCCGCCGCGTTCGCAAAAGGCACCCGGAGCTTTTTCCCCTCTGGTTGCGCTGCTTGAGCCCAGAGTCATTTTCTACGAAGCTCAAAAGCAGGCGGAAAAGGGAAGGAACACACATTCGCTTTACTTACTCATCTGAAACAGTGTTAGTACCAGCTGGAAGACGGGTACATGAGTATATGAAAGCTACATCCAGGCACCGGCTTGGTCTCGGCGTTGGCGGAGCCATTGTTTTGTTCTTATGGTATTCTCCTGTTGATCAAGATCAGCGTTGAGTTTAAACAAAGAAACAAACAACAGGGTCAACGTGACACCGCAGCGGCGAACGCAAACGTGGTCTACGGAAACAAACTCGACGGGAGTATTGATCGATAGGTGGCAACAGTTTGAGACGCAGGGGAACTGGCGACGCAACCGGCGAGGTGGTGAATTGAATCCAGATTTGAGGGATTACATGCGGAATGGGTCAATACAAAAGATGACGTCCAATTTCACTGCTTAGCACACGCTAATTTGTACTTACTCGTTCTTTTTTGTCACCAACAGTCAAACAGGCAGTGTTATTTGTGCCATTGATACATTTCAAATTAGAAAAGATACAAACCAACATAAATTTTGCTTAATAATTTATCGGCGACGTCTGCAACCAGATTGCGGAGGGGGGCAACCAACACTGGAGCAGCTGATGTGAAATAATCTCAAAGTGTTAAACAAAGGCACAACAGCAATGATCGTCTAATTTCACCAATTACAATCTCAATTTTCAGGTTTTTGTGAGTAGCATCGCTGCGGTGAACATGACACTATTAATTCACGGTTTCCATCCATGTGACAGATGCAGCATACTGTACTCTGACAAACTGTAAATGGCTATCCGGGTGCGAGTATCAGAGCTCATTGGAGCAGAGGAGTCACCGTGGTGACAGTCACACACCTTCTCCAGTCATCTCACCTGGCAAATCGTCTCCACCTGCACATAAGGATTGTGTAAATTAGCAAAGTGTTCCAAATGGAGCCAGTGAGCGCTCCCACTCCATTTCATCACTAGCAGTCCAAATTAAAACCCCGATCAGCAGCTTCTCTTCCGTGCATCGATACCCACAGAGCGCTTTGCGCGTAAAGAGGCTCAGCCCGCCGCGGGAGGAGCTCGCGGGCCGCCGGGCGGAGGCGACTTGAGTAGAAAGCGCCGTTTCTTCTGGCCCACGTGCTTCTTTGGACGTACGCGGACATTTAGAGTTCGGCCTACGCACCGGTATAAACGACCCCCCCCACCGCAGGATGTGCGGCCTGCTGGATGAGTCTTTCGCTCCACAAGGTTCTCTCCCCGTGCTGCGGCCGATGAAACACTCGTCGTCGACTGGAAGGCCGTAAAAAATGTTCTTCACAAACAAACAGACAACTGAAGCAAAAGCGACACACGACGTTGTGTCGCGGTGCCGCTGGAAGTTGGAGCTAAAGTGTGCGCGTGTCGCGGGGTCTCAACCGGCATTGGGCTGCCGGAGGTCCCCCCCCCCTCCACCGTTTTAATATTTTTGAATGAGTCCGAGTTTACTTTAACCGGATTGCGGCTGAAGGACAGAGCCGGCTTCCCCCTGACAGCCATTTTATGGAGGCAGGAGAGAGGCGTGTTCTGAGGAAGCGGTTACAATGAGCAGCAAGTTGATGTGGGAAGGACGCCGCCGTCCTGCACGTAGTCCCCGGTAGCTAGCAAAGCTAACGCTAGCCCGACGCAGTCACGGTAAACAGCGCCTCGGTGTGAGTCACGGAACCCAAACCACATCACCGAGTAAACAATAAACATCGTTTCTTTGGGGTTTTTTTTCCTTTTTTTTCGTCAACGGGCGCTCGCCGGTTAATTAGCTGACAGCTGACAGCTAGCTAACTTTGAGCTATCGTCTGGTACCCACACACACACACACAAACAGACAAATTCACGTTAAGTTGGTGAACAGAATGACGCGGTCACACAATTCCACTCACGCTTTTGTCGATGTCGAGCTTGAGCTTCTTCTGTGAGATGCTCTTCTGGATCCTCTTGCTGAAGGAGGCGTTTCCAGCTGACCGGCCGCAACGCTCCCCGTCCTCGATCAGGCAGCAGCTCTGGCCGTAAAACGGCAGAGGCTGCGGTCCATCGTGGCTGTCTTCTTCGGTGCTAAATCCATTCATTCTGTTCTATTGCCGTTATCTTCGTGCGGGAGAAAAATAGATGAAAAAGGACTAAAAAAAAAACTAAATAAAACAGCTTTAGTATGGCTAACAAATCTGTTGTTGACGGGTTGCCCTTTTGTGAAAGACAATCCGGTAGCGTTAGCTAGCTGACTGTGCTAAGTGGCTAGTTCACGAGCTAATAGTCCCCGTGCTAATTTGGGCACCGGTGAGTTAATTTTTAAAGGTGATGCCCTCTGGTTAGATACATGCTACCCCCGAAGATCCCCGGATCCCCCGTCGGATTCGCACAACGGTGTTTAGCCTCGGCTAGCCCGAGTGCTAGCAAGACCGCAAGGTGGCTGTTACCCGACAAATTCCTATGGTGAGACCGTCACCGGTGTCCCCCCCCCTTGTAAACGACCCGCTAAAATTCACATACCACAACGATCGCATGCAGTCACGAACTCGAACACGGCAACCGGTTACGTCAAACGGGAAAAAAAACTTCGGTAGAAACCACAGATTTATCAGACTGCGACTCAACAATCGCGGCACTCTTTCAGAACGGCTCGTACAATGGACAGGCTCCGTCTCCGTGGCGGAAGTTCCCGTACCTGGCGGCGATTGGTCGGTTTTGCGTGAAGGCGGGTTTAGCGTGCGATGTCGGCTGTCCCATTGGCTGAATTGGTCCTCCGTCTTTTAGCGGTTCTTCCTGTAACAGTCGGCGTCTTGTTTTCTACTACGAACAAGAGTTAAAAAAAGGTGGCGTCGCCGTCAGCTGAAGGGGCTTTGAAACAGGGACTCGCGGTAGCCAGCCGCAGGTTATCCGAAAATTCCAAATTAATAAACTGTTTAAAATTGTGTCTGCGTCATACACGCCCGCATTATTATGTCTTAAACGCATCTTATTAACAGCACGCAGTCCGTAGTTTCATAATTATGACGTTTTAAGTGAAATATTAAATACGTTGAAATTACGTCTTCGCGTAGACCACATTTCGCCGACCAGTTCATTAATTATTATGAAAATCTTAACGTTAATATCGTCTATCTTTCAACCTTACGTTACATCATGACACATTCATCAACAAATTGACGTTTTCTGGCACGTTGATGTTTCATCCCATTTTTAGCCGGTTGAAAAGACGTTGAAATGAGGTCTTAGACGTTCAGACCTCATTTCAACCCGATTTCAACCATATTTCAACGTTGAAATTACGTCTTGTGCTCACTGGGCTGTTTCAAGAGACAATGTTCTTTATTTAACATAATAAATAAAGATCGAAACGAAAAATCAACAAACATTACAAATGGGATGTGAACGTCAGTATATATATATATATATATATATATATATTGTGTATATTGTGTATATATAAAACCACACAAAGTGGGTTTTGTTGTATTTTCTATTCCGTTGTCTTGGAGTCCACTCTATGACACACAATGGAATGGAATGGAATGGAACGGAATGGAATGGAATGAAATGGAATGGAATGAAATTAAATGGAATGGAATCTTCAAGGCCAAGTTCCAGGACAAAGTAGATTCATCTGTTCATTGCGAGTCTGGCCACAGGACAGAGCACTGCATATTGTTTTGTGAGAGAATTTATCAGCGACGTTTGTCCTTAACGAGACTTAATTAAGGAGCCTTTCGATGGATATATCACCATTCTTCAAAGACCACATGGAGTCGTTATCCGGCAAGCAAACAAACAGCCTTTTTCAAGGCTTCCAGCCTATTTTGGCGCTTCACGTCTCGGGACTCCTCCCAACGGATACAAGGTGAACATGGCACTTTCTCGTGCCCGGGATGAAGTGCACTACCTGAAAAGGAAGGTGAGCGAACTCACTGCTCACACTGAAACTGGGAGGTGCAGTTTGACCAACCTGTTAAAAGGCAAAGATCTTGCCTATGAGCAGACAAGAACAGAAATAAGTTTTCAGACCTCATCAGGGAGAACAAGGGTTTTCTCTGAAGCTCCACAGAGACCACCGAACAACTCGTTGTCAAAAATGCTGAACCCACGGTCCAGGAGCAGGCCAACAACCAACGGTTGAAAGCAGAACACAAACTGCTGAAGAGCAAGACAGAGGCTCTGGCTGAGGTTATCGGGGAAAACTAGAGTTTGCTTCTGAAGCTCTTTGAGTACGGCCGACAACTCTTCGTCAAAAGTGCTGAACTCACGGTCAACAAAGAGACCTGGCAGCAGAAGTTGGAGGAAAACAGATTCAAGGAACTGGATTACCAACAACAGTCCTTGGAGTAAGTAACAGGGTTACTCTCCACCAACATTTCTCTTCAAGAAGAGCTGCACAAGGAGCAGGCCAACAACCACCAGTTGGTAGAAGAACACAAACTGCTAAAGATCAAGACAGAGGCTCTGGATGAGACTATCAGGGAGAACGAGGGTTTATCTCTGAAGCTCACCGAGACCAAAAAAAAACTTTCTGTCATAAGTGCTGATCTCAGGGTCAACAACGAGACCTGGCAGCAGTTGGAAGCAGAAAACAAACTGCTGAAGACCCAGAGGGATTCTCTGGCTGCTTTAAAAAAGAGCCACCACCATGAGGAGACCCACCACGAGATGGTCACAAGCAGTGGTTTTGTGGTTTCACTGAGTTGTGTCTGATCTCTAAGATCCAACAAACGGAGGATACCATTCCCAAAGAACATCAGATCCTTATCACCAGGATCCAAGAATTAGAGGAGGACAAAACAGTCCTTGAAAACATCTGCCTCGACTTAAAGAAACGGACCGGCAGACGGAGATGGACAAAATGAGGTGCAAGATGCAGGACAAGGAGACAAAGAAATAGGAGAGAGAAAAGAAGAAAAAGGAGACCATCCAGGACGTCAAGATCAACGTGCCTGAGACTGGACACAAGTAAGAACACCTTCCTTCGCCTCCCACTCCATCCTACCTCATCCATCTACCCCCGCTCCCCTTCCACCCGCGCTTCACAGCGCTCAAGAACCCTCGCGCCCCCACCGCCAGGGCCCATCAATATCGTGATCAGTACACAGGTCACGGTTTGTTATATAGATTTTTACTATTCTCTTGTTTAAATGTCTTATTGCTGGATATAAGGGTGTTAAGCTGATGAGAAATAAGCATATTTCTTTCATAACAGCAATCTTTCCAAAAGCCATATTTTCTTGGTGTCTTTCCAAGGTTGCCATGAATGTAACTTCTCTTTGCTTTGAGGCGGCCATCTTTTGACGGTGCTTAACAATTACAACCCAACTCTGTGCAGAAAGGGTACACAGGAAGGCTGTTAGCCTTTAGACACAGTCAGGGCTGGTTGTCTATAGGGATTTGTGACAT